ATATATATATATATATATATATATATATATATATATATATATATATATATATATATATATAAATAAATGTAAATACATGTAGAGATTTAAAAAATATATGCTGTATGTGTGTGTCTTTACATATACCTAATAAATACACAGTACACACACATATTGTATGTAAACAAAAACTTTTATTTTGGATGCGATTAATCGTTTGACAGCACTAATATATATATATATATATATAAAAACAATTATCTATTTAATGTATTAAATTAAAGAAAAATGACCTAGTCTCCGATGGTTTTGCAGTAAAAAGACACAAGTACAAAATTACTGTTGAATATTGTAAAATCGTAGAAATATTCTGCGTTTTACACAACCTATAAAACATTAACCTGCACTATTACGAGATGTGTGGCCCAAAGTAACCTGAACAAACCTATTGGCCAATGCCAATAATACATCATTAAGATGATTCCAGACCCTTAATATCCATGCATCATCTTATTTGTCATCTTCAGTAAACAAGCTCACATGATATTTTGCTGGACCACTATCTCATAAACTTAGTTGATATTCATAATTATTCAGTATATATTACCCTAATAAAACAGATGAAGTTCAGCATCGTGTTAAATGCGGTCTGATGCGGAGCAGCAGGAGGCCGGCGCGCAGAATAGCAGGTAATGTTAGCGGACTGGCAGTAAACATTTACTGCAAAGTTCTTTTGTAAGGCAATTAAGCTGCTCTCACATTCCCTGATGTAATACTCTCTCCAACTGCTAGTTGCATGCAGCCAAACTCTAAAAAACACAAGGGCATGCAAACTGTCACACAACTGACAGCAAATAAATACAAAATAAAATACAAAAATATTTAAAAATTAAAATAATATTTGAATAGTAATATTATTAATATAAATATTTATATTTATAATAATATTTTGTGTACATTAAAAAATAATGCTATTTTAATTTCTTAAATTATATTTTCATTTAATTTAGTTTAACTTAAGTTAATAATTTTTTTTAAAATATATATTATTCAATTATTACTCAGTTTTTACATTATTATTCAATTTCATTCAGACCTCCAAAGAGAATTAAGTACTTTTTTTTTAAATATCATAGAGGCCTAAATATTTACTTCCCCCATTTTTCTAAGTTTACAGTACAAGGTAATTCAGTTATGCTCTGACATCCGTTTCAGTGTAAACTTTTGTACAAACTCATTTGTCTTTGTGAAGAGACGCTTCATTAGTCACTACAACAGGTGATCTAAAGCAGTGTGTTTTAATTACAGACACTGCTGAAGACGGACGAACTTGAGTCAAGTGTGAAAACGGTCTTATAAACAATCATATTCGAATGTCAAACAACTACTAAATCAGCTGCTGTTGAATTAAATGTTTAACATTTTCAGGCAACAGCTTCTAGAGTAACATCTGATGTGTCCTTAATAGGGTTGCAAAAAGGTGGAACATTTCCAGTAAATTTCGGAAACATTCCAGTAAATTTCGGAAACTTTCCAGGATTTTTTTGGAATATTCAAGGGATTTTTGGAAATTTACCAGAAATTTTCCACCCCTTTGCAACCCAAGTCCTTAAAGGTCCCCTGAAGTGCCTTGAAACACACAGCGTTATTCTATGTCGTGACGTAATTTCAACTGAAACAGGAAGACAGGGCGGGACATAGAGCAGCCCCGCCCCCTTTTTAAATGAGCCAATAGCGTTTTGTTTATATCTGCACAGGTCAGAGCCATTGAGCTCGGTAAAGCCGCATTTGACAGCCACAGTCTAATAGATTATACCCCCTATATTCAATATGAAACTCTTAGTAAAACAAAATAGTGATCTCAGCCGCGGCTTCAGCATCTACTTATAATGTAGGGGGCGGGGCTTCGGCTTCTAGAGAGCGTTTGATTGGTCAGAAGATTTGATGAGAAGCTGAAGTACGATGTGACGTCATCGTTGAGCCGTTTTGGCGGAAGTGACGAACTGCAAGCTTCGACTGCTTATATCTTCTAAATGTGAATTTTGTCACTGTTTTGGAGCACACTGCCTTATAGATAACCTTAAGACTAACATATTGATACTAACACCCACAAAACTTTCATTTTGATTTCATGGGGACTTTAAGCCCTACAAATTATAATTAAATACCTTTTCTTAAAATATCTCCTGATTTCATTAATCAAAGATTCAGAAAATGAAGTAATACATTAAATTAATAACATTTTTTCACATTCTTGTTTACATAATTAAAAATAAAGTATTTTTACACAACTACATGTGTTTACTCATTCTATACCGTAAGCAATAATTATTATTATTATGAGTCTTTGTTTGTTTACATGGTTTACTCAAGTTAAATTTTTACTCTTATACACAAACTTGAGATCAACTTGAAAAACTATGACTAGGAAGAGAGATTAGCCCATGCTGTATAAATAAATGCATTCAAAAGGAAATTCGCAAGCGAACTCATCTTGCTTTGGACCGAAGTTCAGCAATAAACATTCTCCAGACTGAATTCATTTGGTGCATGCCGACTAAACCGGTCTGAAGCCTGTGATCACCACAAAAGGTTTACGTTTGTTTAAGATCCTCCCAAAAGCGTTCACCACCATGAAGGAGACGGAGCGCTTTTTGCATAATTCACTTCGCAGAGTTTATTCGAGCCGTGTTTCCATTGTTCCGTCACACGTTCTGGATTCCTTACGATCGGGAGGATCTATAGCAGCACGATTAATGACTCGCAAACCAGCTCCAGAGAAAATGATTAGACGACAGAGGCTTAACAAGGATGTTGATATTTCTGGCTCGAGGATCAGTGGAGAAGCACACAAAGCGAAGTGGCCCAATTAGCGGGTGTTTAGCTGGAGGTGGAGCTCTGAAAAGGGGGGCCGGTCCCCGGAGGGCCGGTTGTCATGGTTACTAGCGTGTCACCGAGGGCCCTTTCTCTTTCACGCTTTCATTCTCCGTTCTGTTCTCCCTCTCAATCACCACGACAATTAGACACAAAAACACAAGTCTCCTCTTCTCCAAGGCCAAACTCTCGATTTCGGTCCCCGGAGGGAAGGCTGAACTAAGCAGAAAGTGTGTTTTTTATGAACACTGAGCTGAAGTGGAAAGAAAACTTTGAATGTTCTTTTCATTGTTTGTTTTCTTACCCTCACAGTTTTTTCCCTCCTCTAAGTTGATCTGTTCTTTTAGTCTAGAATTACATAATGGTGCCATCCATCCCCATTAAGAGCTGTTGCTTCCTAAAGCCACCGTCGGAGGGAACAAAATGGGGACGATATTTTCTGAGCTTCTGTGCATACTGTAATGTGACATATGCATGTGGAATAAATGTCTTTAGATTGTATGTCAAAAGAGCTGGAAGTGTAAAGTATGTAAGCAAGGCCAAACTCAGCAGCCTGTGCCAATACCTCATCTGTAATGATGACATTAGAAAGCATTCAGACCACTGTTGACAATACTGAATGTCGCTAATTAGCATATTCATGACATCACAGTGTTTAATTTGCATACTGCGGAGTGTCAGTCCCCTATTGTATTTCTGTGCTCAAATACTGTACTGTATATTCATTTGAATTCTCAATAAAACTTCCCCAGCACAAATTTTAGATTTTGTTAATGTTTTTTTTCTGTGGAAAGACCAATGTAAACAGCAACGAAAGCCAAAATATTAAATGTCATAGATTTACGGAGTAATCCACTATTTTGTAGAGGTGGATCAAAATGACAATTTCCACCCGAGATTTAGAGCCAGTTTACTCATGGAGCCGCATTAAGCTCTCCATATATCTGGGATTGAACAATTGAGGGACTTTAAAATTAAGATAACAAAAGGAAAGTTTGTTAAGAACCAGAATCTAAAAGGATATTAAGATACCTTTAATATCTTTTGAGTTACAGGCATGCAAACCTGAGGCAAAAAAACACAAGAAGTGCTTTTCGCCATTTTTGAACTGTCACCGTTGGCATATAACGCAACAAAGATTGCTGAAGTCAACAGGTTTTACTAATAGACCTACCAATCTCTGTGTAAAAATAATATAGTGATGCTGCAATATTTCTGAAATCATTTTTACACCTGCTAAAAATTGTCATTGTCATGATATTACATACCACAAAATCTGCCACTGAAGCACATCTACAAGACCCAACAGAGGAACCTGAATGAAACCTGATGTTTTCCTTTTATAACTGGTTTCTAAGAGTTAGTTTGAGCTGTGGAATGTGTTTGACAAAGCATTTTGTGTCTAAAATGTAAGTTACTTAATATTAACTAATCATTCTGAGCTGTTCTTTTACAGTTGAAGCCGTGATCATGTGGAAAATGCAAAAAGCGCTGCACAGAAATAAAGCATTTAAAAACAAATTACATTCATTTTTATGCATATTAATGCCTAATCTAAATTGATAAATATTGATCAATCTAAATATTTTGAATAGCAATGATCTTAGTCTATTAGCTGTGTGTGAACACTGCAATTTCACTCCCAATACACAGAATCGATTCCTCTTTCGCATATGAACGAACACATACACACAAAATTATCTCAAATTGTCTCGGCAAGTATTCTCGTAAACACAGTCGGTTATGTCTTAAGTCAGTGGTCTTCACTATTTTTTTCAATGGGAGCCGCACTGATAGGGCAAAGTCAATCGGAGAGCCACTTTTACCGCGAAGTATCAAAAGTTACATCCAGTCATGAATAGCATGTCTTTTTATCAATCTGTCATATGCAATGCAATGCAATACAAAAGCGGCTATCATTCTTTATCATTTACCAGTCAAATTTGTAACTGAGACAAGATTATAAAAAAAAAAAAAAAGCAGGATTACCTTAATGCTGGAAAGACCTTAAGTTATTATTTTTTTTAATCATGTATCTTACCATCCAAGTGCACATTCGGCGTTAAGAGCTGTTAAGATTAAAACTGGCTACTCCGCAGTGAGTCAGTGTCATGGACGTAGGACAGAGCAAGTGTAAATATCTTTTCTAGTCTATATCTCCATCTTGTAATGCCGCTGTTTTAGGTATTTTCATCCAGTGTAGACAACATCACTGGGTTCTATTGTCCTTTGTCGGATCGTGCCACTCACGTCCGGTGTAAACATGGTGTGAGTTTTTTTAATGGGTTATGTTATAGCCCTGCTTGTTTTTAATGTTTTTATGAAATATCTGCATTGACTGCATGATCATATCATCGTATTATTTACTGCCATGCATAAGGCTCGCGAGCCGCGCAATGAGTAACACTGTCTTAAGTGAACGTAAACAGTAGTGAAAGAAATCTCAAGTGCATCGCTATATTGGATCCATGCATTCGGTCTTAAAGGGGCAGCAGCCTATAAATACCTGCTGTTCCATAAGCGCCACCTGCTGTCAGAGTGACATTTGCGTCTCATTCACAAAGCTAAAATCAAGCCATTCTGTTTTTGCTTCAAATTTCGAAATTATACAATCTAATTGCAATCTAAATAACAAGTATTTAGCATCTTTGTTTGGATCATGATTAAAATGCAGTGGCTGCCTCTGATTTTAAATGGAAAAAGCACAGCCAAAGCCTTAGTTTGTTTATATGAAGAGCTTTATTTTATTTGTAATATTTAATTATTTGATTTGGGATGGGTTTAAAAATGTCAAGTTAGTTTTATCATTTGACATATTTCAATTTCACAAAGAAATGTGCACCATTTTGTTGGAGAAATAATAAAAGGACACCTTTTCATTTATAATTTGACTTAAATCTCATTTTGTTCAAAAGAAAAATTGTGAGAAAATTGTATTGTGAAATCAATATCGTGAATCGCATCGTGAGTTGAGTGAATCGTTACATCCCTATATGCTACTAGTTTTTAATCATGCTGATTTGTCTGCTGCGAAGTTCAGCCGATGTCTTTTTTTTTTTTATTCGGGCCACTTAAATTAATTTTGGGCTACCAAAATCTGAAGAATGTCTACCAGCGATTTTGAAATTTTGTGAGCCCTGAAATGTCTAAAGCTGCGGGGAGCGGCAAGCCTGCCGGTAAAGCATGCTGAATAGTAAAAGTAATGCTCTACTGTGCTTTATGGACTTGGTTAGCCAGTTGGCACAGCGCAATGTAAATGCTTGAAAAAAAAACACCCTGGAGCCTTACAGAAGGAAGCCCTCGTGTCTGACGTTGCATCACTAGCCTGAGCGTTCGATCACACGTGTATTTACTCTACACAGACCCCACAGACCTGGCATCTGTGAGCCGCTTCTCCTAGACAGCAGTGAGATTAAACTAAGCGCAAATGCAGACTTCTCAACTCATCTTCTGAGAAAAAAAGAACTGCCTTTTCAGATGACATCTCATTGATGTCTGAAACAGCACAATTTCCAAGACCAAATTGAGTTCTAGAAGAAACATCTGAGACAAAGGAGTAGTTCACCCCAAAAAAAGAAAATTTGCTAAATATGTGCTCACCCTCAGGCCATCCGAGATGTAGATGAGTTTGTTTCTTCATCAGATTTGGAGAAATGTAGCATTGCATCAGTGTCTCAGCAATGGGATGCTCTGCAGTGAATGGGTGCCGTCAGAATGAGAGTCCAAACATCTGATAAAAACATTACAGTAATCCACACCACTCCAGTCCATCAGTTAACATCTGTTTTTATCAGCTGTTTGGACTCTCATTCTGACGGCACCCATTCACTGCAGAGCATCCATTGCTGAGACACTGATGCAATGCTACATTTCTACAAATCTGATGCAGAAACAAACTCATCTACATCTCGGACGACCTGAGGGTGAGCACATTTTCAACAGATTTTCATTTTTGGATGAACTATTACTCTACATGAATCACATTAAAACCAGAATATCAAACAAACTCTTTTGAGGAAAGAAACAATTCTCTGTTTTCACTAAAACAGTGTAGGTGGTTGTACTAGTTGCATCATGTTGAAGGTGTTCTTGGCTCACCGGCCTTCATCTATCTGGACCTTTATTTAGACTCTACCTGCTTCATGTCATGTTTGTGCAATCTAGTCCCTCATTGGTTATATAAGCCACCCAACGCTAGGGGAAAAAATGCATGGAAATAAAAAGAAGCAAAGGTTATGGAGATCCTGTAGGAACCATTTCTCAGCAGAATACTGTCAGATTACATTACATGCGAGTTGGAAATACCCTTTAAACAACATGATGCCTCTCCAATAGTTTGAAGCTCACCTGACATCCTAGAAGCAGATCGAGCCGGCTGACACACACAAACCCCTGCAGTCCAAAGCCTGATCCTATTAAAGCGGAACTAGGTATTACTGAGATCTAAA